AAAGAAAGAAAGAAAGAAAGAAAGAAAGAAAGAAAGAAAGAAAGAAAGAAAGAAAGAAAGAAAGAAAGAAAGAAAGAAAGAGAGAGAAAGAAAGAAAGAAAAAGAAAAAGTTTTAGAGAGTGAAATGAAAACCAAAAGTCTATGAGATTAGTGGCAAAAGAACAATCCCTTATTTTTTGTTTTTCTCGGTCCATACCAGGTGGCTCTTCTGACATGAGACAGAGATTTTGGATTTTCCTTTAACAAGCATATGTAGGTTTACAGAAGGAGAGAACCACACTCCAACCGCAAAGCCCACTTTAATTTTTGATGGATCTGGGACCACATGAAGACCATCTGCCATTTATGTCTGTAGAGGGCAACAGAGACAAGCATTTTGGTGAGCCAGCTGCATGGCTGGAAGAAGGGAGACCAGGCCCAGGCTATTCTGCCCCTGGCCCACACCAGGTGGTTGTCTTAGGGAAAGGGACTAAGGATTGGGCAAGATGGTGGCATGGGTGCTGGCACTCGTCCAGGTCTCTGAGCCTGGATTTCAGGCCAGTCAGCTGGAGGTGGGCTATACCATTTGGCCAGTTTACTCTTTTTCTTGGGACATTTTCTCTTGATGATCCATCCTTTTTTCTTCAGATGTTTCACTTGTCCAATGGTCTCTGGATTCCTTAGTTGGATGTTTTTATTTTCCTGGAAAGATAAAAGCAAAACCCTTCCCCAACCCTAACTTTGGGGATTCTTTTATTTTCTTTTGGCAGATTATATATTTCCAAGGGCAAATGTTTTTTTAGCAACAGAAAAAGTGTTGTCTTTCAATTGAAACTTTTTAAAAAATTCTTTTGAAATTTTGAAACTAAATTTACCCTAGTATGTGTGGATAAATACACCTGTATTCCTCTTTTTATTTATAAATAAATTCAAGGTTTAAGTGTGTTTATTTTTAGACTACAAAGGATATTCTCTTTGAATTTCAGCCTGCCTTTTGCAAGAGGCTTTTATATTTAATCACTGTAATTCTTACGAGCCTGCCTCTGCCTCCCAAGTGTGACGATTAAAGGTGGCTGTGGATTCCTTGCAATAGTTATTCTCATAGAGTTGTCCTGGTTTAATCAGGCTCTCCATTTCCTCTTATTTTTCAGTGTTAAAGGTAGACTTTTTAGTTTTTCAAATGTGTAATCTACCATTCTTGCTGATTTATTCTGAATTTGTTGCCTGGAAATTTTTAATATTTTAGTCTTATTAAACACAATGCCGGGGGCTGGAGAGATGGCTCAGAGGTTAAGAGCACTGCTTGCTCTTCCAGAGGTCCCAAGTTCAATTCCCAGCAACCACATGGTGGCTCATAACCATCTATAATGAGATCTGATGCCCTCTTCTGGTGTTCAGGTGTACATGCAGCCAGAATGTTGTATACGTAATAAAATAAATAAATCTTTTAGAAAAAAAAAAAAACACAATGCCAAATTGCTCACTATTTCATTATTTTCAGGTTTTTCTTTCTTTCTTGCCTGTATAAGCTAGATAAAATTTGATGTCTTTGCTAAGTGTTGCTGTTTCCATTCATGCCTCCCATGACCAGATGTCTTTGCCATTTCTCTGCCAGTTAGTGGCTTCCCATTTTGATGACCATATAGCTATATCACTGCACATGCACCATGAACTGGAGAAGATAGAGATTTTCCTTTTGCTTTCTTACTTGTTTGTCTTATAGCCAACAGTGCTGTGCTGATTTTGTGTTTTCTTCCTCAGGATTGGACATTCCATCCCCTGTTCTATAGGCTGCCGCTTTCCATTAGTTTTGGTTCCATCAGCGGCTGATGAACCCTTAGGAATCCATGCATTAGCTAAATGTTGTGACCCCACAGTTCAATAGGTGTCTTTTTGGGGGAGGAAGGAGCCATTTAGGCAACTGAGCTATTTCCTCAGGGTGGAAAGGCACAGGCCCTTTTTCTGGCACATCCTGGTCACAGAGGAATTCAGAGGGGCAGCAGTTCCACTGTATCACCTTTCCTTCCATAGCTAAAACCTCGAAGGACTCTATCTCCAACCAGATCCAATCCATTATTGTAAGGGGCGCTCTTAGGACTGCAGGCTGGTTGGCAATGAATGATAGAATATAGGTTCTCCATGCCTCACAAAACGTCCAGATTTGTTTCTCAAAGAGAGAATATTTATCCTCTGTATATGGAAAGCTTTCACGATACAAGCCAACAGGCAAATGTTGGTGGACTCCTTTTTGTTTCCTGAAGAGTCCTCGGTTGCCAGTTCAACAATGAATATGCTATCCATAATTAGGGTATCATCTGGTTCTGTATTGATCAGGGTGGCATGCGGAGACATGAGCTTACCAGCAGCTGTAAGAGCTGCTCTTTGTTCACGAAAGGAATTTAGTTGCCTTTCTAGTAACCTTGTAGAGGGTTGGGGTTTTTTGTTGTTGTTCTGTTTGTTTGTTTGTTTGTTTGTTTGTTTTGAGACAGGGTTTCTCTGTGTAGCCTTGGCTGTCCTAGACTTGCTTTGTAGACCAGGCTGGCCTTGAATTCACAGAGATCAGCCTGCCTCTGCTTCTCAGAATGGTGGGAATATAGGCGTATGCCATCTCGCCCAGCTTTCTAATCATACTTTAAAAGATATCCTTAATAAACAAAAAGGATAATAAAGATCCTTAGAGATAGATTACACAGTGCTTTATTATCTTTAGGAACAACAGCTTCAGAGAGACATTGGAAAAAAATGTCTGAATTAGAATGTAGAAAATGTAGAATGTAGAAAATGTAGAAAAAAAACTGCTGAATTAAACCAGCCTGTATATTTAAAAGATGTGTTGACCTCAGAATTGGAAATCGGGATTATGTGTTACAATGGGGAAGAAGGTTTTATCTTTGTTTCCACAGAAGAAAAGCTGTGGATGCTATCAAGATTAATAAAGAACAGATTGGAACAGGAGAGACCTTCTGAATAAGGAGAGGCAATAGTTCATCAGACAGCTAGTCATTCAGTCCAAACTAACTTCTAAAGACTAACAAATGCCTTTGATTTGATCAGGCATAAAAAAAAAAATAAAAAGAAAAAAAATATTTTCAGCAGCCAGGCATGGTGGTGTACCAGAACGTGGAGAGGCAGAGGCAGGCAGACCTCTGTGAGTTTGAGGCCAGCCTGGTCTACAGACAAGTCCAGGATAGCCAAGGCCACACAGAAAAACCCCGTCTCAAAAAAAAAAAAAAAAAAATTGTAATTGATGTCTCCTGATTTGTACTTTCTCTGGTCAAATTTTCTGTAAACCTTTCTTATATCCTAGATAAATGATAGATTCTCGTTTTTGTATGTCTTTCAAGAACAACTTATAAATCCTAACAAGGCAAATTCTCTTTACTTCATCAAACATTTTTTTCTAAGGTATC